TTCAGCTCTACTGTTGGTTTTTCTGGAGCAAAGATGATTATTTCGGTTTTTTCCTCATTTAGTTGAAGAAAACTGACATCCATCCAGTTCTTTATTGGATTACTGGCATGTGTGTACACTCAAACCACAACCACCAACACACACACACACACACACACACACACACACACACACACACACACACACACACACACACACACACACACACACACACACACACACACACACATTTTTAGAAATTACGTTTAGGCCAATCGGACTTGAGATAGACCCTTGTGTAAAAGAGGTCCACTGGCCATATACATTCCCCAATCAAGTCATCTGTGTGTCCCCAACCTGTAGAATCCAAATGACGACCTTGTTATCTGTCTTCTCAGAATTATCTCAAGTATTAAGTCTTCCTGCTGGTGGGCGATGATAAGACTAAGCCTTTGTGAAATCCCAATTCAAAAAACAACAATTGCACGTTGTTCTTTCCTCTCAGAACCTTTACCTTCTAGTCCAGAAGGTCTGGACTGAACGGGGGAAGAGGTCCTGGACCTGGAATCAGTAGAATGATCTATGTTCAATTCTTCCTGGAAATGTCTAAAGGACACAAAGACAAGTGAATCTGCTTTTCTGGTAAATGGTAAAAGGTCTGTATTTGAATAGCGCCTTCTTGGAGTTGTACAACCCCCCAAGGCACTTCACAATACACAACCATTCTCACCCTGGTGGGGATGAGTTATGATGTAGCCACAGCTGCCCTGGGGTGCACAGACAGAGGCGAGGCCTGCCAAACACTGGCGCCACCGATCCCTTCGACCACCACGATCTGCTTGTAATTGTGTCTAAAATTGGATTGGTGTTGCTGTTTTGGGCAGACCTCTTGCAAGAGACTTTTAATCTCAGTGTTTCATGGTTAGATAAAGGTTAATAATGTGTACAACTTTATTGCAGACCACTGCAAAAATGCACGCCATAAAATAAGCAAAGACCTTTATCAGGAGGGATGGGGACTTAAAGGCAGGTCTGGACAAACCTTTGTATCGTCATCTCCTGTTTACGTACGTTTGAATCCAGGGATAAAGGATGTCAGATTGCTTTACTTTGTCAAAATGTTGACTATTCAGAAAGAAAAGTACTCCAGCCCAACAATGTGAAAATAGTAATTTTGAACAGCTGTGTTTATTACAGAGAATGAGAAACAGTGTAAACAAACATCGAAGGATCCCTCCAATCTAAGCCAAGAGACAGGAACTACGAAGGAGAAGCATTAAAAATGATAAACAAAATTCTTTAAGGCATTAAAGGGTCATCATCTGACTAAGGCTGGAAGGATGGTCTCTTACAAATGGAAACTTGACAACTTTCTTAAATGTTAAAAAACTTAAATACCCATTGATTTCAGCTTGGAAGAAAGACTTAAAGAATATGTTCACAAATTTTTTTCATCACATTCGCAGTGGTCTCTTGTCTAAATGCATGTCTTGTGGGTAGATTTCTGTGGAAAAAAATAACTCTGGTTCTCCTGTTTCAGGAACTAAATGAGTCAGAGCAGATGCCAGCTGAAGAAAGCAGGATTTGGAGTCTCATTTCCTGATATTTGGACATCTGGCCTCTGATTGGATAACATCAGCATGACTCTACCACTGACGGTTTGCTCTGCAACTTTGATGTTTTATCTCCACAAATAACACAAGTCTGAAGGAATCCTACCATGTTTTAGAGTTGCTAATGCTAGTGGTTAGCTTCTACTAGCTGTAACGTGCTCTGCTCTCTACTGGATGCTAAATCAACAACAGGCTTGCCTGATTGCAAGCCAACAATGGGTTAGACCATGAATGTGGCTCCTCTAATCAGTTTCCCCCCTGACTATTTTCTATTGGGGACTAAAGCAGGAAATAGCGGTAGAAGACTATCTTCACCTTCAGCCTGCACGTTAAACTGAAGCCTCTTTTAGAAAACAATGCTGACAATGTGCCGCAACGCTTAGCCGCCATCAGGGACCCTTAGGTTGTATATAAGTGGTCAGACTGTGGCAGTGATGTGGTGCAATCGTGTCCTTTATACAAAAGACTACAGGATGGCGGTATAAAGGGGGTTTCGGGCCGTCTCTGCGCTGCTGCGGACTTCCGTTTATCTTAGACATAAATTGCTTTTTATTGTCATCAAAGCCGCTCCTAAAGAGGTCTGTCTTCCACAGTCCCCGTGCAGTCTCTGATTATCTGAGCTCCAGCCTTAACGGAGAGAAGCTCCTGGAGCACTGCATCGCTCCAGTTTATCAAATCAGCTGGTTCTGTTTATAAAAGTGAAACTTACGGTCCGTGTTTACTTTTATTTCTATATAATTGCCGACCGATGGTGTGACGTTCACGAACGAATCTAATCTTTTGAACGGGTTTTCAAAGTGAACGATGAGAGCCGAGTCCTTGTAGAGAGCCATTCATCTTGTCTTCTGGTAACTAACCTCTCCAAAAGTCAGTAAAGTGACTATTTAAAAAAAATCACAAGTAAGAAACAGTTTCTCATTGAACTTGATCTTTAAGGAATGAAATTTTTTCTACATGTATTAATAGTCAATCACGACAAATGTTTTTCTTCTAATCATACAGGTCCTTCTCAAAAAATTAGCATATTGTGATAAAGTTAATTATTTTCTGTAATGCACTGATAAACATTAGACTTTCATATATATTAGATTCATTACACACAACTGAAGTAGTTCAAGCCTTTTATTGTTTCTAATACTGATGATTGTGGCATACAGCTCATGAAAACCCAAAATTCCTATATAAAAAAAATTGCATATTTCATCCAACCAATAAAAGAAAAGTGTTCTTAATTAAAAAAGTCAACCTTGAAATAATTATGTTTAGTTATGCACTCAATACTTGGTCGGGAATCCTTTTGCAGAAATTACTGCTTCACTGTGGCGTGGCATGGAGGCAATCAGCCTGTGGCACTGCTGAGGTGTTATGGAGGCCCAGGATGCTTCGATAGTGGCCTTAAGTTCATCTGGAGTGTTGGGTCTTGCGTCTCTCAACTTTCTCTTCACAATATCCCACAGATTCTCTATGGGGTTCAGGTCAGGAGAGTTGGCAGGCCAATTGAGCACAGTAATACCATGGTCAGTAAACCATTTACCTGTGGTTTTGGCACTGTGAGCAGGTGCCAGGTCGTGCTGAAAAATGAAATCTTCATCTCCATAAAGCTTTTCAGCAGATGGAAGCATGAAGTGCTCCAAAATCTCCTGATAGCTAGCTGCATTGACCCTGCCCTTGATAAAACACAGTGGACCAACACCAGCAGCTGACATGGCACCCCAGACCATCACTGACTGTGGGTACTTGACACTGGACTTCAGGCATTTTGGCATTTCCCTCTGCCCAGTCTTCCTCCAGACTCTGGCACCTTGATTTCCGAATGCAAAATTTGCTTTCATCCGAAAAAAGTACTTTGGAGCACAGAGCAACAGTCCAGTGCTGCTTCTCTGTAGCCCAGGTCAGGCGCTTCTGCCGCTGTTTCTTGTTCAAAAGTGGTTTGACCTGGGGAATGCGGCACCTGTAGCCTATTTCCTGCACACGGTGGCTCTGGACGTTTCTACTCCAGACTCAGTCCACTGCTTCTGCAGGTCCCCCAAGGTCTTGAATCGGTCCTTCTCCACAATCTTCATCAGGGTCCGGTCACCTCTTCTCGTTGTGCAGCGTTTTCTGCCACACTTTTTCCTTCCCACTGAGGTGCCTTGATACAGTCCTCTGGTAACAGCCTATTTGTTCAGAAATTTCTGTGTCTTACCCTCTTGCTTGAGGGTGTCAATGATGGGCGTCTGGACAGCAGTCAGGTCAGCAGTCTTACCCATGATTGCGATTTAGAGTAATGAAGCAGGCTGGGAGTTTTTAAAAGCCTCAGGAATCTTTTGCAGGTGTTTGGAGTAAATTAGTTGATTCAGATGATTAGGTTAATAGCTCATTTAGAGAACCTTTTCATGATAGTTAATTTTTTGAGATAGGAATTTTGAGTTTTCATGAGCTGTATGCCAAAATCATCAATATTAGAAACAATAAAAGGCTTGAACTACTTCAGTTGTGTGCAATGAATCTAATATATATGAAAGTATATATGAAAGTCTAATGTTTATCAGTGCATTACAGAAAATAATTAACTTTATCACAATATGCTAATTTTTTGAGAAGGACCTGTATGCCCAACTTAGTGTGCAATTTAAAAAATAAACAATGCACTCTTATTTTAAAGGGCAAACATATTTTACTTAATTTCTTAACACAGACATTAAAAAGTATACAAAACACTCTGCAGTGATTATACTGGAAAGTCTAATTTCATAAATTACACAGAGGACAGTTCATCATTGTGTATTTATGTGGACAGAACCTGAGAGAACAGAACATTCCAAGCGTCCAACCAGAACAGAAATATGTATTGCTTGGAAAAATATACATATCAGTATTAATAAATGATACTAAAACTAGAGGTTAGTCAAAGATCGGTAAACTCTCCATACACACAAAAACCTGACATCAAACCCAGGAACATGTGGAAGAAACACCTCTCCAATAAAATCCCTCTGGTAGAAGTGCATAAAAGACCACCCGATACCATATTTCTGCCTCAAACACCAGCAGAACAGAACTAAATGTAACAGACTTTAGCTTATGTTGCAGGGAACTGAAAAAATACATAGAAAATACAATTTACTACTCTTACATTTACATTGAAGTACAAAAACTTGAATATAAAAATATAAAGAATTGCGACTCAAAAAGTAGCAGTTCGATTTGTGCAAACATCTCTACTAGAAATAGAACTAGTTGATCGACTTGTCATCTTGGCAGAACAAAAACATCTTTAGCAAAGAATAAGGATGACACATCTATACCACTAAAACTGGTTAGGTAGTCAACTAGGCTGTCCAACTAGAAACAACAAAAATATGTAACACTGAAATTAATAGGTCCTTATCCACTAATACACTTTTTTCCTTTTTTTTGCATTTACACAAGAAAACAGAAACAAATGTACAACTTTAAAGCAGGAACACGCGCTGAAGCCATCAGGTAATGATTTTACTAAACCCCAATTAACAAAAACTTCCCTTCAGTTGATGATGATCAAAATGTGATGTCATTGTCTTTTGACTCAAGTTCATACAAACTGATTTGTCACGCACTTTAGTGATAGGTGCAAGTTCAAGTTGCACTTAAATATCTAAATACCTAAATACCTAAAAACAAACAAACTCAGTCAAGAAGGGGTTTTATTATTGGCTCTAGACTCCTGATATCCGAAACTGAGATGTGTATGTGTGTGTGTGTGCGCGCGCGCGCGTGCATGAGTGTGTGCTGTTATTTTAAAAAAGCACATCTGTGCTTTGTGTGACCCAGCAAACTCACCCAACAGCTCATTGTCTGACATATTTTCTTTGGAGTAAAAAAACGGACAAAACCAAACTTAGAAATAATGAATTCATGGAAACCTAAAATCTATCTGGATTAAATATAATTTTTTTCTGTGTGTATTTTCTTCTCAACAAATAACTTTTAAAGGAGGAAAAAAAGGTTTCATGAGGATGGGGGTAACCACACCCATCTTAGTCCAGTTAAATGTCTGCATTACTGTTTCCACAAAGAAGAATCAGCAGCTGTGATCAGAAAGCCAGGCCCTCTCCTGAGGCCTCCCCCATCACAGAGGAGGCTGCTGGAGGATCTGGAGAAGCAGCCTGGTTACCAGAGGAAGCTGCCTGGCAGGAGCTTGTTCCCTGGTTTGAGCAACTTCCTGCTGGAGAGCCTGTGAGGCTGCGAAACAACAGGTCCATGGAAGGAAGCAGGGGCTTAAGGAGGCTGACGGGGCAAAAGGCCGAGCCACCGTGAGGGGTGAAGTTGACCTTGTTGGGGTCTGGACAGGAGGAGACGAGGGCTTGCTTTTCTTGGTGTGTAACGCTAAAAAACATGTAAGAGACATAGTGATGGGATTAGTTAAGATTACAGCTGACCGTGACCTCTACAAATCAGATCGGTCCATCTCCACTGTATTAAGCAGACGTTTTCTGGAGTGTGAATATACATTAAATACAATTCTGCAGCAGCCCCGGGCTGTCCATGGATGTGCCCGACTTTAAACAGGCTTTACTACAGAGGTACCTTAGTCAATGCGATATAATAAAAAAAAAGGTAAATATCTGCACGATCGATCATCTCTAATCTTCACCAATTTTTACACGCTCATATTAAGACTCGTAAGCTTTTGTTTCTCCTTCAGAAAAGAACCAAAAACATCTCAGCTAAGATGAAGAACTCCCCTGACTTCAAAATAGATTTAGTATCATCTCCACCTTTTTGTCACTGTTCCACACTGACCGACTCTGCTTGACTCCAAAAATCACAAAAGATTTTAATAAGTTTTAAAATGAAAAATAAATAAAATAAACATTTGTCATGTGTGATTTATGAAGATAATTTTTTAAATGTAGTTTTGTTGTTCAGCCATGACAGTTAACTCCTTCACTGCCAGCCGTTTCCTGATCAATAATGCCCCTCGCTGCCAGCGTTTCTCACCGTTTTTACTGTAAGAGTCACAGAACGTTGCGCGCTAGGATGATGTCAATGCCAAAACAACCAAAACAAAGAGTAAACTAACCTCTTACATCAGGAAGAATCCGCGTGTTTCGAGCATTACCCGTTCTTTCATAATCCGTTGTCGATCTGATCGGCAGAAGCTTTTCCGGTTCGCGCCTCACTTTTTTGTTTTCACAGGAACAGCCCAAAACGATCTCCTAACACATGGATTTTCTGCTTCCTGATCATGTGACGTGTGACTTATGCAGATGAAGAGCGGCTTCATAGCTGAGATGTTTGTTCTCTCGGCACGGGGGCTCGTTCCGATGCCCAAACAGTAAAAAAAAAATGCAGCGAACGGTTGAATTTAAAATGACGACTTTAGTCGTCATGGGCAGTGAATGAGTTAAAAGTTGATGTTCACGGCGTCACCGAGTTACAAGGGGGAGGCCTGTTAATGCCATTCAGACCAAGTTTAAAACACACCTGATCTCCTCGCAGACTCGGACCTTCTCACAGCCCTCGGGAGGCTCTCTCTGGAAGCAGCAGCTTTTGTTTAGTCCAGGAGAAGACGAGATCAGGGGTGGAAGGTCAGCTTCATCCTGGGAGGACAACGGAGATAGGAAGCACATCTCTGCTCCATCTGTAAAGCCTGAAATCGAGATGCCAAGAGAAACTGTTACAGAAAAAAATCTGCAGGGGTGAGAAGTTTTATTGATCCGTTATGTGCAGGAAGTTTATACAACTCTACACACACGCACACACAACTTTTGCACAAAAAAGTCAGGAGAAAATGCAGAAATGACAGTTCTCAAATGCAGCTTTACCTATATTTCACTTCAATTCAATTCAAAAATACTTTATTAATCCCAGAGGGAAATTAGATCTGACAAAAACACAACCTAGTTGATTTGTTATGTGCAAAAATCTTCAGTTCATGATTTATAAATATTCTGTAAGACAATTAGAGAATCAGTGCAGGAAATTTAATAAAAGTCTGTAAAAAAATGGAGACAAGAGTAAAAATCCTGTTTGAGCTTTAAATACGTATGTGTTTTCTAACAGCCGCACATTTAAACAGACTCATCTAATTACAACACTGACATAAATCCAACAAATAAACCTTGGTGAGAGTCCAGAAGAGCACCTGAAGGATGCAGCTGGGGGGAGGAGCATGGCGAGGACGAGGTTGAGGACGAGGACAGAGGCGTGGTGGCGCAGTCCCTCTGAGAAGCAATGCTGTAGCTGTGCAGAGGTACCGGAGCACGGTGACCATCTGGAACCTCGAGGAGCTGTTGGGATGCAAAATTAAACCATTTAAGTCACACAAATATATTCAGCCGCTACTGCGACCGGCTTTTCCAACACGGCATAATGATGGAAACAGGGAAAGCAAAGCGTGTGACGCATGCAGTGCACAGGCGACACTCACCCTGTTCAGTGGAAGTGGTGACTGACTGATGAACATGCCTTCCAGCTCCTGGTTGAGGCCCTCCACACTGCAGCGCAGTCGAGGGACCAGTGTAGACAGGGGAGAGAGGGGGATGGGAATGGGCTGAGTCTGAGGACAAAAAAACAAGTTAGATGGAGTTTAGGCCCAGCTGCTGCTTAGAATCAGGAACCTTCAGCTCTGTGAACCGACATCTTTGGTGTCAGGAACACTAAATCCACCCACTTTCTGCAATGCATCAGAAATGACTAAACCTACCAAGATGCTCAGTGACTTTAAAACTCTGTAGCTAAAGAAGCTGAAAAGCCCAGTGAACTGTGGCAGCGTGCAACTCTGAGGGACCAGCTGTGCAGAAAAGCAGAACTACACATTCTGCTGAGAAGCAGAAGCGCATGTGATGCAGTGACCTTCCTGTTGCCTTAGCACTGCATTTCATTTCATTCACTTCCTGCAATTGGCTGCACAGCTTTACTTTGATATCAAGTGATTCTTGTCCAGAAACAGACAAGCAGAAGTTGTTTGAAAGACAAATTGGCCCTTTTGACAAAACGAGTATTGTTGAGAAGTGTGTTTGTATGACAGTGATGATTTAAAGGTACCTGAGTGGCTCCTAGGCTACAGCCGCCTTGAGGATAACACTGACGGTCTTTATCGTGACCCCCAGAGGCTGCAGGTTTGGTGCACTGCTGCAGTTGTTGTTTCAGTTTAGCAATCTGCAATGAAAACAAGTTTTGATCAACAACTTTGAGTAAACAGAGGACACGAAGTGTGTTGCAGCACCTTCCAATTGGGTTTAGAGATGATTCAGATTATGAGGTGAGTAGCGATCAACATAAGGAGAAAAGGGTTATTTTGCAGATGAGGTCATTTCTCTGTCAAGTTACGAAAAAAATTTCTGGGCACGATCTTGGCCAATTGATTAAAAAATGCAAGAAAGGCCAAGTTTAGCTAATCTGGCTGCTACAATGCTGTTGGGCAATAAAAGCAGACTGACCTCTTTAAGATGCTCGCTGCCCCATGATGCTGAGCGTTTGTGGCTGCTGCTAGCCTTCCTGCTGTGGGATTTATCCACCCACGAGTCTGGGGTCTACAGACAAATACGTTTTTATTAGTAGTATTAACTAAGAGATTTTACCCATATCCATAAAGATAATATCTCTAAATCAAAGATTAAAAACACATTTAAACAAAATCACACATAAAATCCAGACCACCTTATCATTACTGGTAGTTTCACACTCGAGCAAAGATCACCATTCATTACTCTTAGCCTGATGTTGCAGAGTTAACACCCACAGACCATCTTGTCACACTTATAGAAGAGCAAAAGAGCAGGAGAAACTGAAAAACAGCGAGAAGGTGGAGGATGTGGGCAACCAAAGCAGTGGCGAGTGCCTGCACAAACAGCCGAGAGGAGCGGCTGCAGCCAAAATGGCCTCGTCAGCTGACATCAGGGACTGTTCTCATGGCTGTGGTTCACACTATGTAATAGCTGTGCAAGCACTGGACACTCCCTCCCTTCGTCTTCAGCAACTTTTTTCTCTCCACAAAACCAAAGTGTATAGTAACGCTTCATGACTCAAGTCCATCTGTCTCATAAACATGGTGATTTCTAACTGAACAAACACACAGATGATTGATGAAACATAAACTCTAAATGAGGAAACTGATAAAGCTACAGCTGCATTCCAGTCATTCTTCTAAGAAAAGCTTGGATTCAAACATGCAACTATTATTATTTCCACATTTCTTCATCTGGAGCTGACCTGGGTGGACTTGTCTTTACGAGATGGACTGCCCTGGGCCTCCAGTTCTTTGGGCCAGTGACCCTGCAGGTACGGTCCGATGATGGCATCCAAGGACATCGTCCTCCTCATGCCTGAGCTTAGCTGCTGCAATTTGGTCTTTCCAGCTGCAAAAGATGAATCAAAACGGTTAGAATCAGTAAAGCAAACAAATTTGAAACTCGTTGATTTAGCAGGCTTGCATTACAAATTGTGCAGCTTGCAGTGCTTTTTCCATCATTATTTTAAAAAAGACCTGTTGCACCACATATGATATATATATATATATATATATATATATATATATATATATATATATATATATATATATATATGTGTGTGTGTGTGTGCATGCTTTTGGTCTTTCCTCATACACAAAATGATCTTGTTGCATTAAATCACTAGGGTCTGGTGAAGCCAGGACAACATTTTTACAGTTATTTAAAATTAGAAGCATCTATCTGGATAAATGACCTCAAAACAAAAAGCTATTGATAAACATTAAACCTGTTAAATATCATATCTACTCACTCTTGTAGATACTCTGTTAGCTTTAGGTGTGCACTGCTTTATATTTTTCAAAAACAAACTTTGAATCAGATGAGAACTCTGAGTTAAGGTTGGAGGATGCTACTGACGCCATCTTTAGGATTGCTGCAACTCTTCCTCCATCTTCTCTGTGTGTGATTAATATTTTATTGTTAATGTGACAGGTGTTGAGCCCATACCTGACTTCCCATCCCTCCGGTTCGGTCGGGGTTTGCTGGCCAGTCTGAAGGGAACAGTCGCCTTCAGGGGCTGTGGAGCTCCAGGTCTTGGGTGTCCAGCTCCACTTCGACCGGACATCTTCCCAGTCCCTGACCTGTAAGCACTTGGCTCCAATAAACCTCCTGACGCGGACACTTTTCTGCCCTGCTTGGTTGGTGGAGATGTGGGGGCGCTGGTGGTAGCTGGCTAAACACCAGCTGCAACTCTTCCTCCTGTGGTGATGAGAACTACCCGAAACCGTTACAAATGTGACTTTTTCATCGACATTTCCGACCAATTCGACAAAGTTTACTCGGAGCCGCGGCCCTTGGCTCTTTATTTCGGCTGCTAACGTCTCCGGTGAGGATACTTTCTTTAAATCTGGCTTTAGAGCGAGTTAGCAGCCTAGCAAACCAAAGTTTCTTTGTGAAGATGTTGAGATATTTCACACCCTTGACGAACGAGGAAGCAGCTCCAGTTTCAAAAAGTCACTCTAACGCCAACTCCTACGTCCTCCGAGCGGAATTAGAGGAGTTTTTCATTTTGGTTTATCGGGCTGGAGGTTGTTTTGGTGGCCCTGCAAGTTGCGAGGTGGACGTGCATCTCTCCTCTCTGTGTTGTGGCTTTAATGGCAAACTCCAAACACTTCCACCAGCACGTTGGAGAGGATTTAATTATGTTAAGAGGTGGACGCAGCTCTCACTTCTGATTGGTCACTGGTGCCCAGTTCTTTGATCCTATTGGTCAGCTTGCTATCTGTCAAACCTCAATGAAAAAGCTTGCTGGCTCCGCCCACATTTCGTATTTAATTTTAGACGTTTTTTTCGTGTGGATATATCTTTCATGTTGTTGAATATATAATCAATACTCCTTTACCGAAATATATCAGCTTTTTCCTGAAATTCACACACGCTGCACCAGTGTTTCTGCTCAGCCTGGAAGTGTTTAAAGAGCTATACCAATATTTGGGCTTTAAAACAGGTAAGCAATGGTAAAAGATCCCAAAATGATATACACTATATGGTATCATAATACTAAAGTTGATGTATTAGAGGACTGCAGTGCAGAGGGTATCTCAGTTCATAAAAGTAAACAACCTCATTTAGCCTTTAATTTGAAAACCATCTCATTTTTTTCCATTACTTTTTCTGTGCTGGTTTTAGAAGTCTCTATTTTGTCTTTATATTTTAGTGTTTTCTAGAGCTGACAAAGGATTTCATATCAGTCTATATAGTTAACAGGAATTTGTAACAACGTTTTTTTTTATTAATTAGAACAGTATTTAAAGTGATGATGTGGCGATAGGGTGCAAAACATACCCAAATCCTTGTAAGTAAGACCTTACCAATGAATGATCATTAAAGTAAAAAAATAACAATTTTGGGAACACATTTTTCAAATGAGCTGCACAGAGGCATAGTGGTTAGCGTTGTTGCCTTGCAGCATGTGTGCAAGGTCATGGGTTCTAATCCCAGCCTTGGGTCTTTCTGCATGGAGTCTGCATGTTCTCCCTGTGCATGCGTGGGTTCTCTCTAAGTAATCCAGCTTCCTCCCACTGTCCAAAAACATGACTGTCATGTTGATTGGTTTCTCGAAAAGTGTCCTTAGGTGTGATTGTGTGTGGTTGTTTGTCCTGTGTGTAGCTGTGTTGCCCTGCGTTGGAGTACCCCACCTGCAGAGACTATTGGAGATAGACACCAGCCCCCCGCGAACCTGTGTGGAAAAACGCACATAGAAAATGGATGGATGGATATTTCATCAGATCATTCAACCTCTAGCAAAATGACAAGTACATTAGACTCCCTTTCGTCACTGGCAACAAGCGAAAAGGTAAATGTGTAAAAGAGCAACATTCACGAAAGGTTTAAAGTTACAATGTGTATTTTCCCTGGCAATAGGGGGCAGTAGATACCCAAATCATTGCAAGCAAGCAGTATTTTTGTGTTTGAGTAAGACCTTACTAACGGATGCCCATTAGGGTCAAAAATCTCTTGGAGCACAACCTACAGCTAAATGACAAACACATCAGACTCCCTTTCATCACTGGCAACGTGTGAAGAGGTAAATATGTAAAACAACAACATTTATGAATGGCAACATTTTTGTAACAAATCAGTAAATCAATTTTGTCCTCATGAGCTCAGGTAGAAGGAAACATGGCGTCTAATATGGCGTTGCCCAGAAACTTAGACCCACTCCCATGTACTTTAGATCTGATTTTTATGGTTATACGTTCTGAATCTGTCAATATTTTTTAACAACTGGGAATCATTTACTTCATTTTCAACTATTTTTCGATGGATTTTTTCAGAGATTAACAGTTAAAAACTACACATTGTCACTTTAGGTTTGGTAACAGCTTGCTACAAATCAGTAAATGCATTTTGTCCTCATGGGCTCCCGTAGATGGAAACATCCAATATGGCATCACCCACAGACTTAGACCCGCTCCGTGTATTTTAGACCCAATTTTTATGGTTATATATTACAAAGCCACCAATATTTTTCAAAAACTGGACATCATTTAATTCATTTTCAACAACATTTTGATGGATTAGAAAATAAACAGTAAAAACTACACAATATCTCTTTAATAAAATAAATTAGAAATGCTTAAAACTTATATGGTGCCTCAGAAAGCACTTGATCATTTATTTGTTCCATCACTGTACGTGGTGAGGAAAATAATCAATTCATACATTTATACTTCATCCATGGATGGATAGATTTAGCATCTGTGCTTTAATTGTTCCTATAACATTTGAAACCTGCACAATCAGTCTAACAGACACTTGTCAAGTTCGTGTTTCTTTTTTATCCTCTTCTCCTTCTTAAAGGACCTCATACCAATTATGTGTTTTGACAACAAAATCCACACAAACGTAATAGTTTTAAAGACGTTCCTATCAGATCAGTTACATACTTTAGGACCGAATAATCGGACCTGTTCCAGATGAGGGTTGGACTCCACCAGGGCTGCCCTTTGTCACCGGTTCTGTTCATTACCTTTATGGACAGAATTTCTAGGCACAGCCGTGGTGTGGAGTGTGTCGAGTTTGGTGGCAGGAGAATCTCGTCTCTGCTTTTTGCGGATGATGTGGTCCTCCTAGCTGGATCCAGCTCTGACATTCAATTCTTGCTGGGTAGGTTCGCGGCCGAGTGTGAAGCGGCTGGGATGAGGATCAGCACCTCCAAATCTGAGACCATGGTTCTCGACCGGAAAAGGGTGGCTTGCCAACTCCGGGTTGGGGGAGAGGTCCTACCTCAAGTGGAGGAGTTTAAGTATCTTGTTCACGAGTGAGGGTAGGAGGGATCGGGAGATCGACAGGCGGATTGGTTCAGCGTCTGCAGTGATGCGGACGCTGAGCCGATCTGTTGTGGTGAAGAGGGAGCTGAACCAGAAAGCCAGGCTCTCGATTTACCGGTCGATCTACGTCCCAGTCCTCACCTATGGTCATGAGCTTTGGGTAATGACCGAAAGAACGAGATCGCGGATACAAGCGGCTGAAATGAGTTTCCTCCGTAGGGTGGCCGGGCTCAGCCTTAGAGATAGGGTGAGGAGCTCGGACATTCGGGAGGGACTCAGAGTAGAACCGCTGCTCCTCCGGATAGAAAGGAGCCAGTTGAGGTGGTTTGGGCATCTGGTCAGGACGCCTCCTGGACGCCTCCCCGGGGAGGTGTTTCGGGCATGTCCTGCTGGCAGAAGGCCCCCGGGTCGACCCAGGACACGTTGGAGAGGTTACATCTCCAATCTGGTCCGGGAACGCCTTGGGGTCCTGCCGGAGGAGCTGGTGGAGAAGGCCGGGGAGAGGACGGTCTGGAGCTCCCTAGTTGGGATGCTGCCCCCGCAACCCGGACCCGGATAAGTGGAGGAAGACGACGACGAGAGGACAGAATAACGATTTAATGTTTGTGGCACAGCACTCAGCTACAGCAAATAAAAGAAAACAGCAGCCATAACGTGTAATAATAAAAATCGCATTTATTCACATCAGCTAGTCTAAGCCTAACTTTGCCTAGTTTAGTCTTGTTTGTTTAGGTATAAACTGGTTTTATTAGCACTTTACGAATGGACTATCACAGTAAAAGCACGATTAAATGCGTGGAAGATGTTGTCCCATCCAGAACAGTTAAATCCTTCCCAAATCATAAACCCTGGATTAATGGAGGTGTGCGAACGGCGCTGGCGGCGCGGAGCACCGCCTTTGCCTCCGCAAACACATCAGACTACAAACACGCACATTACCATCTCCGGAAGACGATCAAAGCAGCCAAACGTGAGTACAGAGACAGGGTGGAGCAACAGTTTGACAACCCCCGGAGTATGTGGCAGGGACTAAACACAATCACAGACTTTAGAGGGAAAACCAGAACACCGCAGACCACGGCCTCTCTGTGTGAGGATCTAAATGCATTCTATGCCAGATTCGACACAGCGAACACCATGAGACCGGACAGTGAACGCACCGCGGATGACGTCAGTGCGCACACTGTGTCTGAAGAGGATGTGCGGAGGTGCTTCAGGAGGGTGAACGCACGCAAAGCTACTGGTCCGGACGGGATTCCCGGCCAATTCCTCAGGTCATGCGCGGGTCAGCTGGCTGGAGTGTTTACACACATCTTCAAACTTTCCCTCTCTCTGTCTGTAGTCCCAGCCTGCTTCAAAATGGCCACCATTGTCCCTGTACCCAAATCCTCCACCATCTCCTCAATGAATGACTGGCGACCTGTAGCCCTGACCCCCATCGTGAGCAAATGCTTCGAGAAGTTGGTCAGGGACTTCATCTGCTCTGCACTGCCCGATTCACTGGACCCTCTACAGTTTGCATACCGCCACAACAGGTCCACTGATGATGCCATAGCCCTGGCACTCCATGCTGCCCTGTCACACCTGGAGAAGAGAGACACGTATGTGAGAATGCTGTTTGTAGATTACAGCTCAGCATTCAACACCATCGTTCCATCGAAGCTGGACAGGAAACTGCAGGATCTAGGACTGAGCAGCTCCCTCTGCAGCTGGATCCTTAACTTTCTGTCTGACAGACGGCAGGTGGTCAGACTGGGCAGCACCACCTCATCCCCCGTCACACTGAACACTGGTGCTCCACAGGGGTGTGCGCTGAGCCCTCTCCTGTACTCACTCTACACCCACGACTGCACGGCCACGAGAAACTCCAACATCATTGTGAAGTTTGCGGACGACACTATAGTGGTGGGTCTCATCACTAATGACGATGAGACGGCCTACAGGGAGGAGATCAGCGCCCTGACCCACTGGTGTCAGGACAACCGTCTCACCCTCAACGTCACAAAGACAAAGGAGTTGATAATGGACTTCCGGAGGTGCAGAGGAATACACACCCCCCATCACCATCAACGGCGACGCTGTGGAGAGGGTAAGCAGCTTCCGTTTCCTTGGAGTTCATCTGACTGAGGATCTTACGTGGTCAGTGCACACGAACAATACAGTGAAGAAGGCACAGCAGCGCCTCTTCTTTCTCAGGAGACTGAAAAGATTTGGCATGAGCCGCCGCATCCTCAGGACCTTCTATCACTGTGCCATTGAGAGCATCCTCATTGGATGCATCTCCACCTGGTATGGCAACAGCACCGCTTACAACCGCAAAGCTCTCCAGAGAGTAGTGCGGTGTGCAGAAAGGATAATTGGAGGTGAGCTTCCCTCCCTCCAAGACATCTACAGGAAGCAGTGCCTGAGGAAAGCGGGGAGGATCATCAAGCACTCAAGTCACCCCAGCCATAAACTGTTCAGACTACTTCCATCAGGAAGGAGGTTCTGCAGCATCCGGTCCAGAACCAGCAGACTGAGAGACAGCTTTTTCCATCAGGCCATCAGACTGCTGAACACTTCGCAGACACCTCACCCTCACTACTGAAACTCCAACATTACACACTCCATACTGTACACTAATGCCACTGTTTTGCACATATCAACCTCTGTATATTTTATATCTCTTATTTTATTGTTTACTTTATTCATTTGTAAAATATGTATATACGCATTATACACACACTCACATGCACACACGTAGAAAAAAAATACTTAGCACACACATTTAGGAATGTATATACCTTACATACTATATATATTATTACTTAGATTAGCCATTTTTATATTTTGCTTGTTTTTACGTTATTGTATTTTGCACAGCTGTTGCTGTGAAGCTCGCACACAAGAATTTCACTCGCATGTACTGTACCAGTGTACCTGCACATGTGACGTGACAATAAAAGTGATTTGATTTTATTTGGATGTTTTTAATATTCCTATGAAAACAAGTAGCAGTAAAACAAGCTATTTGTTTTATATTTAAGTGAAATTCTAATTTCCTCATGTCTTGTTCTGCACTGAACTTGTGACGAGTCTAGTCTGATGCCCAGAATCGGTTCTTTGGGTTGGATGTGTTTAGACTCTAAATGGTTTGACGCTCAAACACACGACTACAAGCCGTGTGTTGAGGTTCTCAGAAGGTCCAGCTTTATTGGCTGTTCACAAACGTAAAGAGAGGTGAGCGTTGCCCTGTGGTGTGTGAGTAGCAATCTGAAACTGCCCTTTCAGTTTACCAACCATGATTATTAGGTGCACTGTTAAGTGCAAGAGAAATCTGCAAAGACAACTTGAACATGTTTTACAGTCCTCAAGGACAGCTATAGTAGGCGATAACACCTTAGTACACAAGTTACCACATATAAAACACTATCATGACTGCTCATGTCTGTCTTCATTCACTTGTTCATTTTCTTGCATTATTACTTCCAGCTGTGTGTGTGTGTGTACTGTCTGGGTGGACTGTGATGTGGCTTTGGGTGGTGTGTGTGTGTTTGTGAGACAGCGTGCTTTGTGGGAGATAAATGTCTTGACTCTATGTGAAAGGGAGTGCCAGTGGTGGGACAGGAGAAGAGGGCAAAGATAACATGACAGCACTTTTGCAAGCTGATCCCAGACCAGCACAAAGGCTCAGAGAGTCCCCTCATCAAAACCGCACAGATCCAAAACCTGCCCTCCGTACACGGGTTCATACGCTCATGCTAAGATAACACACACTTGTAGAACTACGTCTAGCAGACCAGAAAGAGAATGAGTGTTTTATCGCAGAAGGACGAAGCACTTTAACCGCATGTTTGTCTGTCTGCTGCTACTACTCCACAATCAATGTCACTTTCACAAGAAAAAGGCACCGTAAGACAAAGTCTGATAACTAAATACAAACTGGCATCCATTTGTTTACAACCAGGGAGTTAATTGGACAGTATGTCAATCTGGAATGTATCTCCTACATAATGCGTTTCTAACATTTACCAAAGAAGCTTCAGCTGCTGTTTGCTTAGCTCTGTGTATTTGTCAGTCGTAATGAATAAATGAGCCCAGCCTTTGACCTCACGTGAGCTATTTCGAACCCGTCTGAGGAGAAATGTCATGCGTCACAAAGCTTAGTCACAAAGGGAAGACACGAAAGCAAAGGGTGACCGAGGTTCAGGGGGGAAAGGGTGAGTCTAAATGTTGGTGCAGCAGTAGACTCGATTGCCAAGATTTGTATCTGTGAGATTTTATACCATATCTACCAGAAAACACCAAATAACTGTTCTAGAGATGTAGCAGTCTTAACGTCTTCGCTTTTCTGGTTTTTGTGAAGGCGTTTTAGTAAAATGTGTCTGTAAATGCATTCCTCAGCCCTTTGAGGAATGCATTTCACCTGTCGCCTTTCATGGCAGAGTTTAAATATGTTAAGTATGTTGCACAAAGAGTGATGCTCAGAGGACGAGGTGGTGGTGGGGTCTGTAAGCTATCACAATTAGCTTCATATCTGTAATAGTGACGTGTCAAAGCCGTCATTATGTTAGCTAAATCTGATTAGCTGTGGCAGCCATATTGAATGCTTTTGCCTCCAAAGGTGAAACGGTTGGAGATGCTCATCCAGCTTGTTGGGAGGTTCATTTGAGACACAGCACAACTTACACCAATATTGTTTGCAAATACAGACAAGCAAATCAATGGAAGTCAGCTCCAGATGAAGAAATGTGGAGATAAGGATATTTGCAGACTAAAACAGGTTCACCAGTCTTTTCTCTTATTGGTGGTGGGAGAAAAATAAAAACTTGTTAAAGTTCTGTTGTGCATCTAAGATGCAACAAGAGGGGGACTCCCACCCACCCACCCATCCATCAATTTCTTCATTATACATACATATATTTTTTTTTCATTGTATATATATATATATATATACTTTTTTTCATTATATATATATGACACGTGTCTTAGCATCAGAAGAAAAGTCAGAAATTAAATAATGTCAACATGAAAAATAGTTGAATTACTTTTTTTAACCAATTAATCCATCAAACTCCAAAATGCTCTCAGTTAAAACTTTGACCTGATGGTGGCACCAGACATCAAATATTGAGAATTTTTCCATGGTTACTAATTAATGTTTTTAAGTTATGACGCTATCCCAATAACTGACTGACTCGACTGAAACACACAACTTCCATGCACATTACCAGAATCCAAAGTTTCAAAAAATGCAGTTTTATTGCAAGGGTCTCCAGCTCTGCATAACTGTGCATTAGATTTACACGTTGTTGCAAGTATGTCACGGAATTAGTTTAGACAAAAAATAAAGACCAACAGGGAATGAAATGAGAACACACACAAGAAGATGCACATAAAGTCACACATAAAGTCACAACTTCTCTATAATCAAACTATTTTACCAAGAGAGGTTTGAAGAAAAGAATGAAAACATTCACCCTGCATAGTCACAATGCACTTTTGCCTTTGAATGGAATAAATATTATGTCTGTGTGCATGAATACGATGCAGAGACTCTGCAGACCTTGGCAGAGTCCTTGAAGTCACATCCTAAAATCTGCATTTATTCTAACGAGTGACTGCATAAGGGTTTAACTAGCAATTATTCTAATATTTTAACAATGTTTTTGTTAATATTCAAATACTTTTCTTTATGGACCCATTTGTTCACTTTAAACAAACCTTGTTTCACATAATTCGCTACTATTTTAATTTTTTTGTTTCTGTTCACTAAAACCTTATTTTAGCTAAATAATCCTGCCAGTAGGGGGCGACAGATAACATAAGATACACTGAGGCTGAGAGGACAGAGACACTGGACAGGGACAAGAGGCATAAAGACATCTGTGGAGGACTTTGAAAGTCATGAATGAGGCAGCGCAGCAGTGTCGAGGCTGGACAGGCTAAAAGACAGAAGGGATGATCTTTCACACAGGTGTAGGTTGGTGCCTGGCTCAAAGGAATCGGGAAGAGAGGAGTTATTTTGTTTTGCAATTGTCTCTGTAGGCAGTGTTTCTTTGGCGCCCCCTAGCAGGGAGAGAGAGCAGGACTGTTCTCTGTGCTGATGTGGACCAGGCACTCGCTGGATTTGAGACTAGCCAGAGATTTGCAGCTTGGGAGAGACACCAAGGACCCACACAGTCCCACCAAGGAGGGGGTGTAGTCCTTTTCTAAGGAGGACAGGAAGAAATATTTGGATCCCCTTTTTGTTTTTAAAATGAACTGTGATGTGTCTGAACAGTTACCTGTACACCAGGCTCCTCCGTTCTGTTTTCCCCTGATCCTCTGGGAGTCTGAATCCTCCACTGACAGCAGCTCTGTGCTCGGGAAACTCCTCCTGCAGGTCAACAAAAGGACAAGTAAGGAAACCTATCCACAGTCATTTTTAAAAAGCTCTATCATCCGTTTCTTTTTCCATAATTAAAACCCCATCTGAAACCATTCTTGAAAGATTTCTAAATTAAATTTAACAGGTTTATTCATGTTTTACATCCTGTTTTAATTGCAAAACAATCCCCAGGAGTTTCACACAGAATCCACATAAAACTATATTCTAGCGATTAGAATCAGCCAATATTTAGCATGACTGGCCTAACCATTGATGAGCCAATCTAAAACTTGTTTTTGGTTTGTAAAAGCACTATTGCAATCCAGCGATTTAAAAAAATCCATTTTTACTTCTGGTTTATTAATGGGATGGAGGTTGAAGGTTAGGGTTATTTATGTGCTTATCTCCAGCAGGCTGGACTATTGCAATGGTCTTTTGTCTGGTCTTCCCAAAAAAGCTGTGAAGCTACTGCAGCTTATTCAGAATGCTGCGGCTAGCCTTAATTCAATTAAATTCAATTAAATAATACTTTATTAATCCCAGAGGGAAATTAGAGTTTCAGTACACACAATTCTGAGATCAGACATACATACATACATGACAAGAATTGTTGACTGTGGTCATGCGCAATCTGAGTCGCGCTACCGTAATAGATCAAGATCAAGAGGGTTTATATGAGGATAGAGTTGGGGGGAGGGAAAAAAAGGTACTTCAAAGTTACCCTCACCAGAGAGGGTAGCTTTGCTATGCAAAAAAACACCTCAGACAGATATGCACACACTTCAGACATTACACAACATAAGTGTCCACTAGGTGGGGAAGTAGGGTTGGGACTCTCCTCACTTCAGTGCATGCAGCCGCATGGGGCAGCGCTCATCACCTCCGTTTGGACAGGGGAGGGAGATAATGGGTTAGAGAGCACAGCGACTCCTAGATACGGTTCCACGGCCTTCACCGGTCACAGTCCCGCCCAGGCTGGGAGAGGGAGAAAGAGTTGCCTAGTGACAGCAGCATTCCACATTTCTTCTGATGGGGGAATTTTTACTTCAGCCTCACAGGCTCAAGGGCACCAGATTCAGATAAGAATTATTTGGGGACAGACAGAGATAATTTATTCTCTGCCTTAGAGTTCTGTTGGTCTACAACCCCTCTAGATCCAATAATGGTGTAATTAATCTATCCCAATCCGTGCTGATCCGTCCACAACTCTGTCCTTGATGGAATCCACCTTTTGTGCCAGAGCCTGAATCTCAGCCAAAGTTCCAAGCTTACGACTCATCTCGACAATTATATGAGTTTGTGCGTTCACAGCGCGATGCATTCCATCCCTGAGCTCTGGGATTGAGCCAATATTCCTTGAAAGCTCGTTAATTTTCTGGTAAGCCAGGTAACCGCTCAGGCCAAACAGCAGTGTAGCATGATGAAGGCTCTCTGATGTGTGGTAAAGGTCACATTTGCCCAGCTGGGTCAAACAGTACTTTTTGAATCCACAGATTAACCCAAGGAGCCACGATGTCTGCTCAAGATCATAACATCATATCTGCTGTTCCGTCCCAGAGAAGGACACTTCAAGTCACTTGATAATAATTAGATAATAATTAATAAATTCATTGATTTTATTACTGTTTAATATAGTCATCATAACATGATCACTTGGTTAATATAAAGGTATTTTAATTACATGAAATGGATTATTATGCTTTGGGTATAATAATAATTATTATTATAATGATTAAAGATGTGTTTAGCAACAAGGTCAAGTTCATCTATTCAGCTAACACAGAGTTCAGATAAACAATAACTGCATCACACGTTTTTGACGCATGAGCAAGCTTTCTTACGGAGAGAGTGGGAGTGGTCTGAGAGCTTTTGGTAAAACTGTAACCATCACAGATTCACGTTCAGTTTCGGAAACCAACATCAGCCTGAGGAGACGGGACGGCCACCCAGACCCTCTGCCAAGCTGTTCTGTCACGCCGACAAGAATAGCCAAACAATAAACGGAACCGTAAACCAGCTAACGAAAGACTCTGCCAGAGTCATTGATTTCTGAAGTTAAGTTAAAGACGAGAACGTTCATCTGCCAAACGCTTGACCACCGTGTACCCGGCTACCACTCTGGACCAGACGATCGGACACTCGCGTCTTCCCTGCCAGCCCCGAGTGTCATCTTGGATGAACCCATCCTCCCGATCTCCGGATCCACAAGAGGGTCAGCTGTTTGGGTGAGGTAGAACACGAGGCTGCGTTTGATGCTGTTTCTCTCAAAATAACTCAGTTATCCGCAAACCATCATTTCCACCCAGAACGCTTTCATTCTCTCTGAAAGAAACCTTCTGAGAACTTCATTCAAGCATCCAAAACTCATCATCATCATCAAAACCGGTTCCGGTTGAGTGAACGCTGGCGCGTCTCGCTGCCGCTGCTCGCTGGCAAACAAACTTTTTGTATTTTTTTTCTTCTTTTTCACCCTAGTCACATCCCTGTGTCGGTGAAAACTCATTTTCACCTACCTGCTCAGCTTGCGTTCTGGTTGCACATCACCACCTCCCTGCTCCACTCCATAATGTGGTCCAGCAGGATTTCTGTGTGCCTCGCACTGGCCTGGATCATCCTGTTGCTCATTCTTCTGTCCGTGGATGGCCTTCTCCAGTACTCGGCGGCGGAGCTCTTCAACCTCCGCTTTCACTACTCCGGATCTCCACCACCAGCTCTGTGCCTCTTCCCCGACATCACCTTCCAGCCTCGCCGTCGGTATATCCATCGGGGGTCCCGGCGGAACCTCCATCTCGACGGCTCCAAAGGAATACCCTCCTTCTGGTCCACGACTAGCCGGCGGCTACCCAGGAATACCTGCCGAGCTGCCGACTCCAGCGTGTTAGCCCGGCTGGCTAGTCGGGCTAATGCTCCTGTCGCCAGGGACTTCCGCACTGCTAATTTTGGTCTTCTCAACATTCGCTCCCTCTCTGGTAAAGGACATCTCCTCCAAGATACCATCAGTGACCATAAGCTAGACTTTCTTTGTCTGAACGAAACATGGCAACAACCCAGCGATTTCTCACAACTCAATGACTGTACTCCTCCCGGATTTGTTTACCTCTCCAAACCCCGTGGGTCGGGCCGCGGCGGTGGTCTCGCGATACTCTATCGCGAGACTTGGAAGGTCCTTCCCGTAAGCCTTCCTCCTCTCACCACTCTGGAATGCCTCGCCTGTCAACTCTCCGGCCCGACCCCCACAATAATTGTCACTGTTTATCGTCCCCCCAAGTTCAGCCCTGAGTTTTTAAATGAACTCTCTGCTCTTTTATCCCATCTGTCCTCCCTTTCCCCAAATGTAATTTTACTTGGTGATTTTAATATTCATATGGACAATATGGCCCTCCCCCTCAGCAAAGACTTCTCCTCATCTTTGGACAGCCTCAGTTTTCATCAATATGCCAATTTTCCCACTCACATTAAAGGTCACACCCTGGATTTAATCTGCTGCTCCGGCCTGACCCCCTCCAACTGTACAGCTGACCCGCTCCCTTTCACGGACCACTTCCTCATCTCCTTTTCTGTTCCCCTCCGTCTCTCCATCATCAAGTCACCACGTATCATTTCTTTTCGTAATATTAAGGACATTGATCTAGCCTCCCTGTCCTCCAGTTTTGCCACCTTGACCCCTAATTTGTCCTCTACTCCCGATGATCTTGTCATTCAGTACAATAACGGTCTGGTTTCTATCCTTAATTCATTTGCTCCCATCAAATCCCGCTCTGTACATTTTACTCGGTCTGCTCCATGGTTCACCCCTGCCCTTCGCTCCTTGAAAGCTACCAACCGGAGGCTTGAAAGACTCTACAAGAAAACCGGTCTCACCATCCATAAAGACTTATATTCTGCTCAGATTTCTCTCTACAAGGACTCCATCTCCCATGCCAAATCTCAGTATTACTCCGGTCTCATCTCGTCCAACTCCAGCAACACTAAAACATTATTTTCCATCATGAACAGCATTTTTCAGCCTCCCGACTCCCTACCCATCCATCTTTACTCTTCAGAAACCTGTAACTCTCTCCTTCAGTTTTTAATGAGAAGGTCAATAGAATCCATCTCTCTTTACCTCTTTCCTCCCCTCCCTCTCCTGATTTATTTGAACCCACCATTCCGTTCTCCTCCTTTGAACTTCCCCATCCCTCAGAAATATTAGATTACATCACCAAATCCAAACCTTCCACCTGTCAACTGGACCCTATTCCAACTGTTTTAGTTAAATCGTGCCATTCTTCTCTGCTCCCTTTTATAACAGCCATTAGTCATTCCTCACTATCCTCTGATACGGTCCCATCCCTATTCAAATCCGCTTCAGTCAGCCCTATTCTAAAAAAACCTGGTTTAGATCCCAATGATTTCAATAACCTCCGTCCCATTTCCCATCTTCCCTTCATTTCCAAAGTCATTGAGAAAATTGTTGCATCTCAGCTCCATTCCCATCTCACCCGCAATAACCTTTATGAACAGTTTCAGTCTGGCTTCCGTCCCCACCACAGCACAGAAACAGCTCTCATCAAGATCACTAACGACCTACTCATTGCTGCTGATTCTGGTTTAATCTCTATTCTTATTCTCCTCGATCTGAGTGCGGCCTTTGACACCATTTCTCATCCCATCCTCCTCAATAGACTCTCTTCCTTAGGCATCACTCACACCCCCCTCATCTGGTTTCAATCTTACCTTACTGGCCGCACTCAGTTCATCCAGTTAAAATCCTTTACCTCAGAACCCTCCCCAGTCAAGTCAGGTGTGCCCCAGGGCTCTGTCCTGGGGCCCCTCCTCTTCATAGTATATCTCCTCCCTATCTGCAAAATCTTCCGCAAATTCAATATCCAGTTTCACTGCTTTGCAGATGACACCCAGCTCTACATTTCCAGTAAGCCCAATTCAACTCTCCCACCATCCTCCCTTACACTCTGCCTCTCTGAAATCAAATCATGGTTCACCTCTAATTTCCTCAAACTCAACGGCAATAAAACTGAACTTCTTCTTGTTGGCACTAACTCCACCCTCTCAACATCTGACAGCTTTTCTTTAAATATTGACAGCGCCACAGTCTCCCCCTCACCTCATGTCAAGAGTCTGGGTGTCATTCTCGACAGCTCACTTTCTTTTCAAGCTCACATTAATAACTTAATTCGGTCAGCATACTTTCATCTACGTTCCATAAACCGTCTTCGTCCCTCACTGACCCCTCACACTGCCACCATTCTCGTCCACAGCCTCGTCACCTCCCGTATCGACTATTGCAATTCACTTCTTTATGGTCTTCCCAACAAACTCCTTCATAAACTGCAACTGGTCCAGAATTCGGCAGCCCGTATTATCACCAGAACCCCTTCCTTTCACCACATCACGCCGGTTCTCCAGCAGCTTCACTGGCTCCCAGTTAAATTCAGGTCCATCTTCAAAATTCTCCTCCATACCTTCAAAGCAATCCACAACCTCTCTCCTCCATATATCTCAGACCTTATAAGTATTCACACCCCGTCCCGTTCACTCAGATCTTCTTCTTCCATCCATCTTGCGGTTCCTTCTGCCCGTCTCGCTACCATGGGGAGCAGAGCTTTCAGCCACTCTGCTCCTCGACTCTGGAACTCACTTCCCCCAGACATCAGGAACGTCGACAGTTTTACCCTTTTCAAAACAAAACTCAAAACACACATGTTTAAATCTGCCTACAACCTCTGATTTTATTGAAATGTTTCTCTCTGTTTTATCTTCTTTGGGTTTTATTATTGTTTTATTGTATTTTATTACGTGTTTTGTGTAAAGTGACCTTGGGTGTCCTGAAAGGCGCTTTGAAATAAAATGTATTATTATTATTATTATTTATCATTCTCATTTTAGCTCCATTCAGTCACAGGTTTTGCTTTTAAACAAGTAATATCAAAACTGTTAAAGATTGTCATTAAAATTGCCATCCATGAGTTGTCATTTTATAATTGTTGTTTCAAATCTTTCGTTTAAAAATTGTTAGTAATAAAATTTCTTCATTTTTAAACTTGCCTCATTATTGAAATGAAACACAGAAACGGGTGATGGAGGGGTCATGGGAGTTTGCCCAACCAATCCACATGTGTTTTGTGGATTTGGAGAAGGCTTATGACCGGGTCCCCAGGGGCACCCTGTGGGGGACGCTCAAGGAGTATGGGGTGGGTGGCTTTCTGTTAAGGGCCATTCAGTCCCTTTACCAGAGGAGTGTGAGTTTGGTCCGCATAGACGGAAGGAAGTCGGACCTGTTCCCGGTGAGGGTTGGACTTCGCCAGGGCTGCCCTTTGTCACCGGTTCTGTTCATTACCTTTATGGACAGAATTTCTACGTGCAGCCATGGTGTGGAGTGTGTCGAGTTTGGTGGCAGGAGAATCTCGTCTCTGCTTTTTGCGGATGATGTGGTCCTCCTAGCTTCATCCAGCTCTGACCTTCAGCTCTTGCTGGGTAGGTTCGCGGCTGGGATGAGGATCATTTTCGTGAAGTGCATTTGTAGTCCTGGACTTATTTTCACACAACACCTAAAATATCCTGAGGGACCTGAGGGTGTGTTCCAACTATAGGGGGATCACACTCCTCAGCCTCCCTGGAAAGGTCTACTCCAAGGTACTGGAGAGGAGGGTCCGATCGATAGTTGAATCTCAGATTGAGGAGGAGCAATGTGGTTTTCATCCTGGCCGTGGAACTGTGGACCAGCTCTATACCCTTGCAAGGGTGATGGAGGGGTCATGGGAGTTTACCCAACCAATGCACATGTGTTTTGTGGATTTGGAGAAGGCTTATGACCGAGTCCCCAGGGGCACCCTGTGGGGGACGCTCAAGGAGTAAGGGGTGGGTGGCTTTCTGTTAAGGGCCATTAAGTCCCTTTACCAGAGGAGCGTGAGTTTGGTCCGCATAGCCAGTAGTAAGTCAGACCTGTTCCCGGTGAGGGTTGGACTTCGCCAAGGCTGCCCTTTGTCACCGGCTCTGTTCATTACCTTTATGGACAGAATTTCTAGGCGCAGCCATGGTGTGGAGTGTGTCGAGTTTGGTGGCAGGAGAATCTCGTCTCTGCTTTTTGCGGATGATGTGGTCCTCCTAGTTTCATCCAGCTCTGAACTTCAACTCTTGCTGGGTAGGTTCGTGGCTGAATGTGAAGCGGCTGGGATGAGGATCAGCACCTCCAAATCTGAGACCATGGTTCTCGACCGGAAAAGGGTGGCTTGCCAACTCCGGGTCGGGGGAGAAGTCCTACCTCAAGTGTAGGAGTTTAAGTATCTCAACGCTGAGCACAGCAACCCACCACCCCAGACCCCAACCAGACGGCCAGATCTCCCTCCTAGCCTCCAGCCCCAGGAAGCCAAGCAACAACAGAGGTGTGCTAAGACCCCTAGTCTCCCTCCGCCTGCTCCAATATAGTGTTGTGTGTTGATGAGGTGTATTCCATGGCTGTGGTGAGCGGGCAGTGCGGGCATTGTCTGGCCTATGTCAGCTGATGCCACCGCACCACCCCACTTGCACCCACAGCCCCCGGTGTCTAAGTGCAGTTTAAAATTGGAAGTGGGCACCAGCACTCAGGAGGAGGTTGAGAAATCCCCCTGCCAAGTGCTGTTGAATGTGCTCACTCCCAAGGCCTTAAGTGTGTGTTTGCGTGCAATGTCGTCGGTGGAAGTGTATGAGGTGCAAATAAAATTGGGGGGCAGGTTGCCACAGGAATGCGTAAATCGGGTCCATACCCGCACTCCCTGACTTGTCCACCCCCCAAGGTCCTATGTACATATTTGTGTGATGATGTGAGGGAGCAGGAGGAGAAAAATATGCGGGGATGGGGAGGAATGGCTGGTTGGGCTTAGCCCTCCAGGGAGCCAGCTCCCCCACTGGCCCCAATAGGCACCTCTGTTGTCAAAATGCCACCCAGGGCATGGAGACCCCAGCCCATTCTGCCAGGGCCTAAAGCAGCAGCATTGCAGAGCCTCACGGAGTCCGAGGGCACCAACCCAGCCACACCCCAACAGAATATCTATGTCCATCCCTGCATTTACACAACTTCCAGAATATATAAGACAGAGGACATCCAGTTAATGTTGGGTCCTCCCCCTCCTGGAGATCCCCCTCCCCTGTGATGGAACAGCAGAGGAGCCAAGGTCTACCCGAGGCCCCTGAACCCGGGCCAGGCACTGCTGCATGTTCCTGCCTTCTTCCCGGCAGCATACATGTCAGGACCTGACCCCCACACCCGAGCCCCCAGGCCCCCACCTAGACCCGCCCAGGGGCAATGCAGCTGCCAGGCAGTGACCCATGGCCGCCGCCAAGACCTCCAAGGGGCCCCACTCACAACCGCCAGAAGTCCACCCCCCAAGGCAACCCAAGCACCTCCAGAGGGGGGCAACGGCCCCCCAGTCCCAGACACCCCCAGTGAACCCACCTCCAGGGAACATCCGGATACTCCAAACTCAGACCCTCCACCCCCCCACCCACATCATCCTGCAGGACAATATCAATGGTCCCCCATCATCGCTATGTGATGGAACCAATCAAAGGAGCCCAGAGAGACTGGTTTGAAGTGGAAGCAGAGGCTAAATCAAGTGTAATATGATCTAACAAAAGATTTACAATTAATTCAGTACAAAATTCTACACAGAGTACACTATACAGGTCATCGGATGTTCAAGATGGGGTTTGTGTCATCTGACACATGTACACACTGCACAAACAACATTCCTGACAATTACATTCACGCACTGTGGTCCTGTCCACCTGTCCAGGAATTTTGGGGTAGAGTATATGAAGACCTGTCAAAGTCTCTGAAATGTCATATCCCAACCACCCCCTCTCTTTGTTTACTGGGAAACCTGGACGATGTCCCGACTGAAACATCTTTGGTTCACGTAGTTCTGACTGCCATATGCATCGCTAAGAAAACTCTCCTCTTGAATTGGAAAAATAGAGAAACTCTCTGCATTAACCCGTATAGAAATCTTTATTAGTGCTAATTCAAACCTGCGGAGCAGCTTCATGTTGTCTTGGCTGCTGTACGGCTCGAGCGTCGGCCACTGATTGATGAGGGGAATGGAGAGGTTCTTGGCCAGGTGGTTGGAATCACATGGAATCAAACTTGTCCTAAAGCAGATGTGGGTGAATTAGGAAGACATGCAACTGTAACAAAAAAAGACGACTATTCTAATTGCAGTAACGCTGTCACATCATCTGGATGAGGTCAATAAAGGAGAAACTTTGTGAAACACTCACATTTGCTCCTGAAGCTCCAGGACAACAGCCTCCAGATCCTTCTTTTCCTGCTGGCTCTGACTCTGTGCCTCTTCCAGCTGGGCTTTCAGCTTTTTGTTCTCCATCTCCATATTCTTCAGCTGGGACTCACGCAGGCGCACAAGCTCCTCCAGGTAACCCTGGCAACGCATATCCACATTACTTTTACTCCTGGACTTGTTATTTTCATACACATTCCCATCCTGAGTTAGGGACCACAGAAACACGTCTGAAGACCTTCTGAGCATTGACGATCTTGAACCTCTGCTCCATCTTGCGACACTTTGTGTTCCAGCTCTCCTCGTCAGTGACCAGGGGGATGTAAGGGTGTTCAGGGATGCTGTCGTCGCTGGTACTGCTGTCAATGCTCCGTCGATCGTCCTCATCATCGCTCAAGTAATCATAGCTGGAAAAACACACGGCCAATTTCAGAAAAAGCCTCGCTCACAATTCTAATTCTACTGACAGCATCACGTACCTTTGAGTAAACTTCAGGTATGGAGTGTAGTCGATCACTGCTGAAGACTTCCCGTCCAGAGCCTCCCCTTTCAGGCAGAAACTGTGAAATCAATAAAATAAAATAAAATAAACCAAACCATAACATCTAAAATAAACACCACTGTCTCTAAGTGAAGGCGCTCCACCTGAAGTCTATGGCTCCCAGACCAATCAGCATCCCCGTTAACACTGTGGCATCTTCTCTTAACATGATGGCTCCTTCTGCGAAGAACCTCCTGAAGCACAAACAACAGGATGGTTAGGATGGTCGAGCGATACTGTTGCCGTGACAGGTGTGATGGGATGTTTCCCACCTAGTCGTCCTGATGTCCCTCAGAGCAGTGGCGACATACTCAGACAGCCTCTTCTCCATCAGGGCTACTCTCATCCAGGCTCGTCCCTGAAGAGATGCAAATGTCAACACTAAAGATAATGACTTCTTAGCAAATACACAGATCACATTATAAATAACACGGTTTTATGAATTTTTGAGTTCAGTTTGAGGAGACTGCTTATGTAAAAAAAAAAAGGTCAATGCTTTTGTCAATCGTCTCAGAAAATGAAACTCGTATTTTATTTAGATTCCTTACACATAGTGAAATATTTCTAGCCTTTATTTCTTGTATTTTTGATGATTTTGGCTTTGGATAATAAAACCCCAAAAGGGGAAACCACACAAGGTCATTGCTGAGGAAGCTGCTTGTTCAGAGTGTTGCATCCAAGCATGTTCTGGTGTGGTAGGAGACACTGCAGTAGCAACAGAGAGAACAGGAGCTTTGAAATGATTGTTGGAACTAAATCCATCTAAGGGAGGTTCAGCAGGAGTGGACTGATGCCGGAGTCTGAGCGTCAGGAGCCTCTACACACAGATGAATCCTGTCAAACTACTCCTGAAGCAGAGAACATTAGAAACGCCTCCCACGGGCTAAGGAGAACAAGAACTGGACTGATCAAAGGATCAGTGTCTTAACAGATTAAAGTAAAGTCTGCAGGTCAATTGGAAATTAATTAAGTTCCCAGAGTCTGGAGGAAGAGAGGAGAGGTTCAGAATCCACGATGCTGGAAGTCCAAGAGGAGTTTCTACAATCAGAGGTGATTTGGCACTGATGTCTGTTATGTTTTCTGAAGTCCTCACTCTTTGTACTTTGTGGAGATGGTGATTTCATTTATCTGCAGGACCTGTCCACGCTGCCAAAGGTACCAGAAGCTGCTTCAGTGACCTTGGTGGTACTGGGCTGGAATAATAAACTGTCTGACCTGACCCTCGCAAAGAGAATCTATGGTTTATGATCAAGAGAGGATGGGAGACATCAGACCGACCAATGCAGGCTTCCATCACAGAGCTACAGGCTGATAGGCTAACCCAGGCTGATGGTCTCCATGCCAGTCATGTCGTAATTCATGCAAAAGAAGGTCAAACCAAGTATTGATCGTAGAAATGAACATACTTTTATGAATCTTGACATTTGTGTTTAAAATACTTTTTTAATGGTCTTAAGTATATTCTATTATTTTGAGACAGGAAATAAAGGCTTTCATTTTATAAATAATGAATCTATATAATATATGAGGTTTTACATTCTGAAATGAGTTGTGTTAGATGTACCTGTACCCCTCAGAATGTTCATACTATCATCAGATCCTGTTGTCTTTGGGCTCCAATGTGCTCCAGCTTGGTTTACGGGATTTGCTTCATTTATCATCAACCTTTGAGTTGATTTCTGCTCGTTTTGTGCCTTTTATGACATCATGCATGTAACAGCATCACTTTTGGTTAATTTATAAGACTGAATCACCAGCACATCCTTAATGCATTTATCATTTTTACAGTCTGCATGACTCACCTTTGCCTGTGATGTGCTGATGTTCTCCATACTCTCAATGCTGCTGATGCAGTTGTTAGGGACTTTAGCACAGGCCAGGCGGATGTAGTCCCAAAAACTCTTCTGTCCATCAAACCAGCTACCAGACCCTAAAAAATAAAAAATAAAAATAGGGGGGGGGGGGGGGGGGGGGGGAGCACTTCAAATATTCCAGTTTACAGAGGGGGATTTCTCACTCCATTTATTTGCAATTTTTCATCGGTTTATGAATTTTTCAAATTTTATGACTTTATTTTTTTGACAACCTATTTCTGTTTTGAGATCATTATGATTTAATGACTTTGTTTTATTTTGTTTTGATCTATGTGAAGCACTTTGTGATTCTATGTCTGTGATGAGTGCTATATAAATAAAATACAAGTTACAAGTTGTACTGAGTAAGAATGACATCCTGTGGTCAGATTTGGGTACTGCAGTAAATGAGTCAGTTTTCAGCAACTGGTACCATTTATGGATCAGCGCCAGAAGATTCTAAATGATTGTTGATAATTGAGTAGATTGATATATTTTTCCAGAGTCCACGCTTTGTGTCCATCTCACTGTTAACATTGTTAACTCAATGTTAGCCTCTAGGCTTCTTTACCCAATATTAGAGTAAAACAAAAACGGATGCTGTGGCTTTTTAGGGGTACAAGAAATAACTTCTAGGTTACTCCTGTTACTAACTAACATTCTGTCCGCAACACTGCTGCTCTTTGCTGGCCAGTGTTGCAGGCTGAAATGTGATTGGCTGTGGAACCAGGAAGTATGGAGGCGGGACATTTGAACTACGGAGTTTGACGCATTCTGGAAGCGTAGCGCGTAAAAAAAAACTCAACGAATGCAGTGTGTCCTTATGCTTCAGGGATACGTCCAAAACGTAACATTTTACAGCCGCAGAAATGGAACCCATCCACGACGATGGCTATGTTTCGCAGTCGTTCTGCAGCTGTTTTGCTTCTGGTGGAAAGTAGGGATAAACATCCAAGAAGTGAACAAATGCTGTCCCCTGCATGTAGCTCACACACAGTGTACACAGTCCCAACAACTCAAGTCACTGTAAAATGATTAGACATTGTTCCTTTAAATCATCACTATTGAAGCAAATGTTTTAGTCTAAGGTGCTGTTTTTAAATTAGACAGCCGTTTGTGGCAAATAACTTAAAGTTGTAATAATGTTTCTAAACACTTTTCAAACCTTGGGTACAGTGAAATTCAAGCATGCTAATGATTTTCTTTGCAAACCCTGCACTCTGTGACTTTCTTTACTTGGCACGTGGTGATTTCTCAAAGATCTCTTACCTTTAAAACGGTGACTGAGGATGTGTTCAAGGATTGCTGCAAAGTTGATGAACTCTTCAGCTGTGTCATCAATGGGCTCAGCTGTGTATTTCTCCAAAAGGGTTTTAACTGAAAACCTGCAGAGGAATCAAAGAAAATGTGGGAGTAAATTAAAAAGCAGGAAAAAGATGGATTTTTTTTCCTTTTTTATGCTTGCTCCCAGTCCTCCCAGTGTGAATGCTTATGGGAGCCATGTTTTCCATTTCCTGCTGACTCATATCTATTCTCCCAGCCTGATGATGTTTGTGAAACCTTCAGGAAGCTCCAACAACTCTGACTATTAAAAAGCTCGTATGACTCATGATGTGATATATTCTCAGCAGAACTCACGGATTTCTCTTTAATCATGACCTGAGATGATCACTGGCTGTAAAACACACTCAATGATTTCATTTGTTTTTAGAAACAACCCCACCGTTTTTATGTTCGTTAAATAGTTCGGCAGGTCTGTTTGTGACCAGAACACCTGACTAAGTGGGTTTTATAGGCCATTAGCATCCAGCCGATTTTAATAAATTCTTAGTTTTTATAAGACTCCTCAGTTTTCTTCAGCACAGACTCTGCTGGTCTAAATGTTGCATGCACATGTCCAGGACGAATTAAACAGTGGAGTGATTTTAGTCTTTGTTGTCCCAGAACAACGATGTCTGATTCACTGTCTGACTCAAAATAGGGATGTCACATGACCCACATCCACCTGTCGGCAGCTTGGGAGAGACATGTTGATAACAACGGTATTTGGGCAGCTTTATAAGTAAAAATAGCTTTTTTGAATGCAACTTTAGATTAATAAACCCTCCATGTTTTACCGTTTTGCTAGGGAAACAACAAAACTAGTTCATAAGGGCTAAGAGGATATGTTATCACTGAATGTTTGCTACAGTAAAAATAACTGATAGCTAACTTCTAGCACCTATTTACTCTGGTTTATCCTATTGGGTCACTCTAAATCAGGGGTGTCAAACTCAAATTCACACGGGGCCGAAATGAAAATCTGGGACGAAGTCGCGGGCCAAACTTCATATTTTTTGAAAAAGTGACGGCAAATTTGCACATTTTCTTTATCAACATATATGTAATTTTGAACCTTTTAATTTGGAAACAAACTTACATTTGCATTAACACTGAATGTGGAATACCAAATTACACACGAGCAAGTCGATTTTAAATAAAACACATCAGTGGTATTCATTACTTGTGGTATATTCAGCATTTTAAAATCTATTCAGGATTTATGTTTTCTTGTTGTTTATTCATTTTTCTTATTTTTTATTCTCCTTTTTTTCTCCTGTAACGTGTCATCACTGCTGTGACATCTAGCTTCCCCCCCCCTGAGGAACAATAAAGGGATTTTCTATTCTATTCATCTATCTGCAGCCTTTCCAGTTCCTGTTTACTGTAGGTTAAATCTTTTCTCACTGGCCAACAACAAAATAAAAATATAATTTTATCTTAAATGAAAATGCAATATCTCACATGTTAACTTTCAGTTTTTGGAGCAGAAAAAGAGCATAAAACCTAAATATTTAAAGCTCAGTTTGCTCCACTGGTTTACTGTGATGCTCACCTGTTCCAGCCAGATACCTGCATCATGGGGTTGATCTGAGCTGAGGAGACTCCTGTTGTTTTGTTCATCTTCATCATAATAATGACAACATGACAACAGGTGCTCACATAGGTTTGTGCTGATGAACATGTCTGAGCAGCTTGACCACATTGTTGTGTGTCGAGGAGGAAAAATAAAAACTACAGCAGGCACAGAGTCATGCTGGTTTGAGCGTGTCGCTGCTCGCTGGAGTTATATCAGCTCTGTCTGGAAGTTAGTTGGAAAACTTTCTCTTTCAGTCGTGAACACATAACTGAGCGGTTAAAATATCCGTTTCTGGGCTTCAACGTCAGAAAATAGCTGAGTAAACTCGGCGCTGAGTGAGAGGAACGTCCTACTTTGGCAAAACGTCCTACCCGTAGGATAATTTTACCGTGTTTTACATGACACAAACCCTAACCATAACTCTACCCCTAACCAAAAAAAAATCAAGTATCAACGTCAATAAAAAGTACTAATACTTACTACTTATCTATTTTCCTGCAAATATGACAGCGGAGTAGCATTCCCCTTTTGTGTTGTGCACATGTGCGCACATGCTCAGTAACAATGGGTAGGACGGTTTACGGGGTAGGAGAAATTCCCAGAACACCGGCACCAGACGCTGTAAAAAAACACGGGGGGGGGGGGGGGGGGGGGGGGGGGGTTCGGCTCTGCAGCAAAGCATCATGGGAGCTGTATTCTTTGCGGTAAAATCGGCCAGTGGGTCAGTTTTAACATATTTTTTGATGTTTATCTCGTGGGCCACACAAAAATGCTCCACCTTGTCTCTGACACATGTGCTCTAAAGCATTTTTATGATGGTAAATTAGGTCAATCTCAGAGTGAGCTGGTAGCAAATCTTGCTGTTTGGTGCAGTTATATGCATTTTTCCCAGTGTTGTTAACGTGGAGGTTTCTTTACACAGTCTACTATAACTTTAAAACAGTTATTGGGAAAATATAAAATTATGACTGTAAGAGTTATTTAGTTCTACAGCTCTGATCTGCTGATACAGGTTAACATCCACTTATAAAATGATGATTTAGTGTGTAACAAAAAACATCCACACGGATAATTTGCTATTGCCAGCCTGAATTAGCCCTTTGTGATGGTGCATTCACAGACCAGGAAGAAAGGGGCTTTTATTTTGCTTGGCAATGGTGCATTGAACAGTTATTGATTTTCAGATTGGCTCAAAGATTAAGAAGTTTATTTATATTGTACTTTTCAGATGCAAAGTGCTTCACTGACAAAAAACATACAACAAACAACAGAATCACAGTAAAACATTAAATGAAACTGCATTACAATAAACTGTCAATTATCAATAAAAGTGGTATAGGTGACTAGTAGCGGGGTAGGATAATGGAAAAGACAGCCAAAACTAGAGCTAGGAAACTAAAGGTGAGTTTTAACAAGTTTAAGGAGGGTGTAGGAGGCAAAAAGAAATCATGTAAACTAGGCATGTAAAAAATACTGATATGGAAATATATCGTGTTCATTTTTCCAGTGATATTATAATCAGTATTGGGAAAGTTTGTTTAAAAAATGAACTAGTTAAAAGTTCAGTTCATACATTTTAAAATGAACTAGTTTGTTTCTTAGTTCATAATTTAACAAATTTTGAACTAAGTTCACTGTTCCAAAAACGAACTAGTTCATAGTTATTTTTCCTCATATTTATATATATTTATATATCCAACAGTTGGCACCCGTTCAGACCACACTCATACCCAGCTGCAGTTTTTACCCTACAGTATATTCTCAATAACATGAGGAAAACATTATTTGAGCAGTTTTTAATGGGAAATTATTAAACAATCTTAAGAAGCAGGCTGAGGTAGCAAACTCAAAGTGCAATATTGAAAGTGCAAAACATTAAAAAATGTATAATCTTTCAGTTAAGCCCCTTTTTTATTTTTCTGAATGAACTTTGACTCCTGCACACAGCATAGATGTAGAAGAGTAGACGCCGCACCAACCGCTACTGCCTATGTTTGGCCCAAGCCCCCACAATGCGGCTCTAAAATTTGTCTCAACCCGGAAGTACCAAAAATTGCAGTTCCACCCTCATCTGCTGGGGGCTGGTATCAGAAGCGAGCAAATGCTCATTGACTCCCATGTTAAAAATACCAATTTCACAGCAGAAATAAACTTGTTTACAGCCTGGTACCAAAACATGTTTTTGGTTTAAATGATCTAGTTTACACTCATGACAACTCTGAGGGGGATGAATTTTTTTCTCACTCTTCTGTTTAAGTGTATTAAAAGCCTAAAATTCTGTATAATTAATGAGCCTCAGACCCACGTGACCACAGAGCTAGCTCCGTGGAAAGGCCTCAGTACAGCCTCGGTCTGGCTTGGAAACTGCTCCGGCATTTTGAGTCTCTGTGTTTGTGTATTCTTTTTTGGATATTTTTTGTGCAATTGTTGGACAAAATGACTTGCTCTGGCATTAGTTGCACTAACAGAGCGTCCAAGGAGTCTCCACTTCATTTTTTTCGGTAAGTAAAATTATATTTATGTATTTTAGGTCACTGCCGAGCTGAGCTTAGATTTTAACATGTACTGTTTTACCATGAAATTTAAATGTAATAGGGTAAAACCCAGTGCATTTCACATATTGCTGCACTTTAAAAAATGGGTTGAAATATAACATGTTGGTGGAGCTGGGTTCCGACTATCGGCTTGTGGAGCTCTCGGGAGACCGATGTTTTCCACCCGTTTCTCCCCTCCCCGCAGCTCGGTGCATCTCTGTCTGATCGCGGCTTCTGTTTGCTGACGGCTGGTTCTCCCCGCAGCTCGGTGCATCTCTGTCTGATCGCGGCTTCTGTGTGCTGCAAGGGCTGACAGCTGGGTCTCCCCGCAGCTCGGCGCATCTCTGTCTGATTGCGGCTTCTGTGTGCTGCGCGGGCTGATGGCTGGGTCTCCTCGCAGCTCGGTGCATCTCTGTCTGATCGCGGCTTCTGTGTGCTGCAAGGGCTGATGGCTTGTGGAGCTCTGGGATGGAAACCTTTCCACCCGGTTCTCCCCAGCTGCAGCTCTGCGCATCTCAGATCGCAGCGGCACTTGTCTGCTGTGCGGCTGCCGGCTTGTGGAGGTCTCCAAGACCTCTGTGTTCCACCCGGTTTTACCCAGCGGTCAGCCCGGCGTATCTCTGACTCAGAAGCTCTGGTGTTGTGCACAGTTAACTCCGGCTGTAGCTATGTTGCTACCTCCGTTAGCTTAGCTCCCACCTCTGCATTAGCTTTGGGTTAGCTTCAGGTTAGCTTGTAGCTAGTTCAACCGGGTGTCGTCAGTTGATCCCAGCCTTACAGCCCCACCCTCAGCTCCACCTCTCTTCCCTTTTATGGAATTGTCTGGGCTTGACGGAACCTGTGACACGGTCAAAATGGCGGTGGTGGCCACCTCCCATTTTAGCACAAAAACTTGTTATTGGAGCCTATGGAAACCCATTGTCCATATATGTATGTCGATGGTTTGGCCGCATTTGCGGGTTCTACTTTTTACAAACTCTATAGTTAACAGGATGTTTTAGCTAGGTTTTAGCTCTGGAAAAGCTCCGTGGATATATGGAGCTAGAACGGCGAAAGAATGCATTCATAAACCCGTTTACGCACGCCAGGACGAACACACTCACTTTCACGCTTGTCAGGCAAAATACAAAAGAGTTCGGTTCACGAAAAAAAAAAAATTCATGAAAGATTGTTCAATGAATGCGTTTGGGCTGATTATATGGATATTGAAAAGCTGTGTATCAAATTTTTGGAAGAATTTACATTCAAATATTTGTGTTTTTTCTTTTATTTTGGTGCAATTAAAACACTGACCCCTAGTTGGCAGCAGTGTGCAGTGGGCTTTGTTTCCACCACTGAAATGTAAATCCCTCTATTATGGTTTAGATACCTCATGTTAAACATGTTACATATCAGTTTGAACTGTTCATTGAATTTTCCCATAAAAAATTCTGTCTAAAAAATTGCTAATATCTTCTGACTGAATGTATCACAATATATTGTGATACGTTGTATTGTATCACCATAATTTCACCATTACACATCCTTAATATAAACCTAGCAGCAAAACGTGGAAAGTGACCAAACAGAGGCAGTAAAATCTGGTATATTGATAACTCAGTAGGTGAAAACATTGACAAAACAAACATTTAAACGAAATTAACAACATAATTTCAATAAAACCTTAAATATTCACTAATTCACTTTGTGAGTTTATAGGCCTAACCATAACAAATGTTACTATAGTTAATCTCTATGATATAATAGGTTTATAAGTGGCGGTAACATATTTCGAAAGTGACCCTGGTGTGACAAGCTGTTAGCTTGTCAATCTGGGCAGACCTTATCGTTATTTCTCCAAGCTGAGTCCATTCAAATAGCTCTCTACAACGTAATTCATGTTAATTGTTCATAATCTTTCACACCCCACAGTCATGAATTATAACTAACATTTAAGCACTAGTTGTAAGCTAAGAGCTAAAAAAATCATAAATGGCTGCAGAAGTTATTTGTTTTGTTTAATTGGCTTTCGGATCGATGATGATCTGGGTCATCATCAGTGCCTGACTCAGCAGTTTTGTGGGGTTTGATGCTTGGCGTGTTTTAACTGAACTAGTCTGTAGCAGTCTCACCCAGTCCAATCAGGACTCAGAATTCAGGCCTCACATGTCATCCTCAGACAGTCTCCACGGGTACCAGTTAGTCCTTGCTCCGGGAAGGTGGTCGCCATAGCAACCACGCCATCAGCGCTCAGAAAACAAACAGCGCTGACAAATATGACATCTCACTCAGTTATGTTATACTAAACAGGAACACTTGCTTTTTTAACGGACTAAAACGGATTAGATGGACCAGGAGTTGCATTTAAAGACATGTGGAAATTATAAATGTCTCCTTGTATGACCACCTTAAGGTTTAAGCAGCATTTCTGAGAACTCCACTCACATAAAGGCTTCAGAAACATCATCACCGACCTGCAGACGGAGATCAGGTTCTTCCTCTCCACCGCTACGTTCCGAGCAGACACTTTTCTCGATGCTTCTCCCGTGGCCATCGCTGCCTGCACATACCCGGGCTCCATCCGGGAGGAGACAGCCCTGTAATAAAATGACCCCTCCCTGTCCCTCTCCCTCCACTTTCACTCGTGGAAGAAGCAGAGGATGCTGCGCGTCCACGTCAGAGCCGCAAACATTACTGCGCCAAGAAAAAAGCTATTATAGTGAAGAAAGAATCAGAAACATAAAAAACAATGTGGATCTGTTGTGTGTTATTTGTTTTTATCCCACATTCAGAGGAATAAAACGCATCTCTCTGCTCTCGCGATGTCGACTGCCGATGACGTCAGAGTAGTTGATTGGCTGAACATAAACCTTACGGAATTACGGAATCACGTTACGTTGTTATCACGTTTTTTATTATTTTATTTTTTTTATTATCTTTAAATGCTTATTACAATTTCTCGTGAGACAACAACACAGAATGGAAACATACAAGGCATCTTTAGTAACAATAAAAGAAAAACAAATAAGAAACTTAAAAAAGAGGCACTTATATCACAAAGTAAAAAACATTGTTACAAGATTAAACATTTTTCTGCAGCATGACAAATGGCTTTTGCAGTTGCATTTGAATTTTTTATATGAGTCAAAGTGGATAAGAACATATGGAATTCATTTGTGAAACAGTTCGTGTTTGGCAGTTGTTTTTTTTTCCATTTGCTTTTGTGGATGTGGTATTTACCCATAATAATAATAATGTTAATTAACAATGAATTATTCCCATTTAATTTAGAATTGTAAATAAGAATATCTTCATTTGTAAAACGATCAAGTTCTCTTATTTTATTTCTTAACCAACAATGGACTTCTTCCCCAAACCTCTTACTTATATGACAGCTGAAAAATAAGTGTTCTATTTCTTCAGGGCTTCCCTGACAGAATTCACAAGGGTCAACTTCAAAATCAAATCTCTTCCTCAGTGTCTCTGCTGATGGATAGTAGTTGTTAAGAATTTTAAATTGCATTTCTTTTACTTTGGGCATTATAGGCCATTTTATAAATTTTTATTGTTTTTCTTCAATTATTGGATTTCCTAGTATTTTTATTTTAATCTTCCTATCATAATCATGATAGATACATTTTTTAAAGGCTCCATTTAAAAATTTCTTTTCACATTTTCTTTCTGTGATGTTCAATTCTCCTATTAATAAATTAGGAAGTTTTATTTGAACATTAGAGAAGAGAATTGTGTTTTTTATCATTTGTATCAAAGTCACTGGTAGAGCCTTACATACTTTCTCATATTCCTGAAGAGAACATTGAATGTTATTAAATTTGTATTTAAAATTCTGTAGCTGTAGTATTTCACCATCTTTATCCATAATATCGTGTACAAAGATAATTCCTTGATCAAACTACTGTTGGTTAAACAAAGACTTTCTGTTTGAAACAATTACTCGATTATTCCACAAGGTGGCACAATGAGGAGTAAAATTATGGGTAAATACCATCTTCCAATAATGCAATACTTGTTTGTGAAATTCAGATAATTTAAAAGGCAATTTAGTGATTTCAAAGTCACATTTCAAAAGAAAGTTTAGCCCCCCAAACTTCTTGAAGACATTTTTTGGAATATGAAACCAAATTGTATTTGTCTATATTAGAAATTCTTTCAGCCACTTTGTTTTAAATGTTCCCAGCATTGCTTCAAAATCCACAGCTTTCATACCTCCATTTTTATGTTCTTTGACTAACTGGGATCTTTTTATATAATGGGTTTTATTTCTCCATATAAATTTGTATATAACCGTGTTAATATTTTTCACTGTTTTTAAAGCTATATAAAGGGATTGACATGGATAGATCAATTGGGAAATACCCTCAGACTTGGACAATAAATTTTGCCCAAAAATGGAAAGATCTCTGCTAAGCCACTGGTTCAGAGTTTTTTTGTATTTGATCAGTTTTTTTCTTTCATATTGATTTCTTCTCTTTGTTTTTCGTCTGCAACTATCTTAACTCCTAGATATTTTATTTCTTTTTTAACAGGAATTGACATTATCTCATTATCTGTGCATTCATACAGATACAGTAACTCACATTTTTTTGTGTTCAGATGAAGACCTGATGCTTTGGAAAAAATTGAAATAATTTGTAATGCTTTGCTAACCATATATTTGTCCTTTAAAAAAACTGTGTCATCTGCAAACTGACTTACACGAAATTCATAATCAAAAAAATTTATACCCAGAAAATTTGGATGATCAGTCATGAAATAATCTATTGAACACTTGAGCTGTGATACCACCCCGCGCCGGCAGGGGCCACTGTTTTTAGGACAAAGCTATCGAAAGCATCCTGCTAACAACAACATAATTTCCTGGACAGTTTGCGTTCAATTTAAGCCCCACATAAAGGTGAGTGTTAATAAATGAAGTTAAAAACGCAATATCAATTTGTTCGAGTAAGGCAGCTGTACTGTATTATTAAACTTTAATAAGCGGTAATAGCTCGACCTTTATGTTGGTCTTGGATTAGCCGCTAGTGAAACGAGGCTAAACGTCCACCTAGCTCAATGGGGCTAGCAACCGTGTTACCATTAGATTATGTGGATTATCAACAGGATTTATGTATTCGTAATGCTTTCATCCACTCACGTGTTTGAGTAGGTTTTCTCTTCCATCAGATCATTGGTCTTCATGTGAATTCAAAATAATTAAAAAATCAATGGAC